CCTCTTCTCAGCTTCTATATCATCACTCTCAACATTCGAGAAACACCTTGTATTAATGCATTTCAAATGTTTCTTAATTATTTTCAGTTTCTGAACAACTCTGAACATGGGAGTGTCATTAATAGAGCAATTCTAGGCATCACTTACTGTTTCCAGGAAACCAGTACCTTCAGTCCACATTTTGAAAAACCTGAAAGGCTTTCTAACATTACCAATCTGGCTATCCAGCTTCATACAACAAGGTCAGTGATCCATTAACCCTTTAGGAAGAAAATCAACACAGAAATGAGGAAAAGAACTCAGCCAGAATTTGTTAACTATCACTCTATCAATTTTAGAACAAACCTTAACTCTCCCCTCCTGTTTATTGTTCTAGGTGTAAAACATACCACCATCTTTAAAATCCATCAAATCATTATTTCTTAAGCAAGTTCTAAACTTCTCTACTTCAGCAATAGTACATGGTGACCCCAATCTATCTTCCAGATTCAGAATATTATTAAAGTCACCAGCAATAATCCAGGGTTCACTGATTAAGATGGCTAAGTCAGAAATTTTATTCCAGAGCTCCTCCCTTTCACTGGCAGCATTAAGCCCATACACCATAGTAACCTAGAAAGATTTCATAGAAGCTCTATGAGTGACATAGGTATGAACATATTACACATCAACCTTACAGCTACTAACAGAGAAAATAGAAGGGAGACAAGCAAGCCAAACCCTCCCAGAATCATGAGTAGAATAGTTGGTAACAATTAACCATTCCTTACAAAAATTCCCAAACACCTTACCAAACCTCCTAGCCTTCACCTTCGTTTCCATGAGACCAAATAACCCCATATTATGATGTCTCATAAACCATAATACATCACACATCTTGCTGGGTTTATTCAGTCCCCTCACATTCCAAAACCCTAAAATATCCATTAACAGAATATGAGCACTCCCCACCACTCATCCTCCCATACATCACTAGACCACTCCTTATTTCCCCCAAAACACTTGTATTATCATTATTTGAGTTCATATTCACCTGTTCTAGCTCCCTAACTTCACCTTCCTCTATATCTGCCTGTAGATCAGTGAACCTATTTCTCATAAAGGAATTTCGTTTGTTACCAGGCTTCCCTTCTCCATTCTGTTCCTAAATTGGTCTTCATTCCTGTCTCACAGTCGACTTAATGGCTTTTGCTTTAGCCATCCTTTGTCTTTCCCTAAACCTGTAATTAGGGCATTGATCACAAGTATGACCCATTCCAATACACATAGTGCAGTGAACTGGTTTCCATTCATACACAATTTTCTGAGTCACCTTCCCTCCAATTTCATCCAGAACCACAACTTCATATGGAAGTTCCCCTTTCACATTAACTTCTATCATTACACGAGCATGTCTAATTAATTCATTCGTAGTTGTTGCCCTATCAGTTTTAACTAGCTTACCCAGAATTCCAGCTATTTTCATCAAGGAAGACTGACTCCAGAATTTCAACTCCAATCCGGGCATTCGAACCCAGATAGGAATTTTATGAATATCTTCTGATTTGAGATTAATTCTTGGCTCCCATTTCTTCACAATCAAAGGCTTCGTGTCAAAGAAAATAGGTCCTGCCATAAGAGCCTTTTCTCTCCCTTCAATCGAATTAAATCTGACCAAGAAAACCCCATTCACCATTGTAGAAACCCGATCAACCCCAAATCTACCCCATGATCTTCTAATAAGTGTATTCACAATTCATAATTTCATATGATTCTATTAGCATTGTTGAATGCATTTGACAATCGTTTGATACAAAAAGCTTTGATTGCATTTGTTTGACTTTCACATGATTCAATTAGGTTTTGTTAATGCATTTGACTTTCATTTGATTAAAAAACCTTTGTTTGAATGTGTTTGACTTTATTTGATGCAATTAGCTTTGTTTGAATGAGTTTGACTTTCATTTGATTCAATTGGCTTTGTTGAATGCTTTAGACTTTTATTTGATTCAATAAGCCATTTTTTGAATGTGTTTGCCTATCACTTGATTGAATTAGCTTTTTTGAACGCATTTGACTTTCATTTGATTCAATAAACTTTTTTGAATGCATTTGACATTCTTTTGATTCAAAAAGCTTTGGTTAAATGTGTTTGATTTCCATTTGATACAAATAGCTTTGGTGGAATGTGTTTGACTTCCATTTCATTTAATTAGAATTGTTTAATGCGTTAGTTTTTAAATTGATTTACAAAGCTTTGTTTCAATGTGGTTGACTTTAATTTGATTCAATTAGCTATGTTAGAATGTCGTTGACTTTCAGTTAATTCATTTAGCTTTGTTCAATGCATTTCACTTTCGTTTGATTCAAAAAGCTTTGTTTGAATTTGTTTTACTTTCATTTAATGCAATTAGCTTTGTTTGAACATGTTTATCTTACATTTGATTCAATTAGCTTTGTTGAATGCATTAGTCTTTCATTTGATTCAAATAGCTTTGTTTGAATGTGTTTGCCTTTCACTTCATTCAATTAGCTTTTTGGAATGCATTTGACTTTAATTATTTGATTCATAAATCATTGTTTGAATGTGTTTGACTTTCATTTGATTCAATTAGCTATGTTAGAATGTGGTTGACTTTCATTTGATTCAATTAGCTTTGTTAGAATGTCATTGACTTTCATTTGATTCATTTAGCTTTGTTGAATGCATTTGACTTTCACATTATTCAATTAGCCTTTTTGAATGCATTAGACTTTCATTTGATTCAAAATGGTTTGATTGAATGTGTTTAACTTTCATATGTTTCAATTAGCATTGTTGAATGCATTTGACAATCATAATATTTAAAAAAGCTATGTTTGAATTTGTTTGACTTTTTCTAGATTCAATTAGCTTTTTTGAATGTATTTAACTTAGATTTGATTCAAAAAGCTTTATTTGAATGTGTTTGACTTTAATTTGATGCAATTATCTTTGATTGAATGGTTTTGGTTTTCATTTAATTCAATTAGCTTGTTGAATGCATTTGACTTTTATTTGATTCAAAAAGCTTTGTTTGAATGTGGTTGACTTTCATTTTATTCAATTAGCTTTGTTAGAATGTCATTTACTTTCGTTTGATTCATTTAGCTTTGTTGAATGCATTTGACTTTTATTTGATTTAAAAGCTTTGTTTGAATGTGTTTGACTTTCATATGATTCAATTATCATCGATGAATGCATTAGACAATCTTTTGATTCAAAAACCTTTGTTTAAATTTCTTTTGCTTTCACTTGATTCAATTAGCTTTTCTTAATGCATTTGACTTTCATTTTATTCAAAAAGCTTTGTTTTAATGTGTTTGACTTTCATTTGATGCAATAAGCTTTGTTAAATGTGTTTTACTTTCATTTGATTCAATTAGCGTTGTTGAATGCATTAGACTTTCATATGATTCAAAAAACTTTGTTTGAATGTATTTGACTTTCATTTGATACAATTAGCTTTGCTTAAATGTGTTTGACTTTCATTTGATTCAATTACCTTTGTTAAATGCATTTGACTTTAATTGAATTTAAAAAGCTTTGGTTGAATGTGTTTGACTAACATCTTGTTCAATTAGCTTTGTAGAATGTATATAACATTCATTTCATTCAAATAGCTTTGTTAGAATGTGTTTGACTTTCATTTGATTTAGTTAGAATTGTTAAATGTGTTTGTTTTTAAATTGATTTAAAAAGTTTTTTTTTTTTAATTTGGTAGACTTTTATTTAATTTAATTAGCTTTCTTAGATTGTCTTTGACTTTCATTTGATTCAATGTTCTTTTTTCCATGCATTTTACTTTTATTTAATTCTCAAAGCTTTGTTTGAATGAATTTGATATTCATATGATTCAATTAGCATTGTTGAATGCATTTAACAATCGTTTAATTCAAAATGCATTGTCCAAATGTGTTTGACTTTAATTTGATTCAACTAGTTTTGTTAGAATGTGTTTGACTTTCATTTGATTCAATTATCTTTACTGAATACATTTTACTTTCATTTGATTCAAAAAACTTTGTTTGAATATGTTTGAATTTCATTAGATTGAAATAGCTTTGTTTGAATGTGTTGGAGTTTCATTTGATTTAATTATAATTGTTAAATGCATTTGTTTTCCAATTGATTGAAATTCTTTGTTTAAATGTGGTTGACTTCAATTTGATTCATTTAGCTATATAAGAAAGTCTTTGAATTTCACTTGATTCAATTAGCTCTTTTGAATGCATCTGACTTTCATTTGATTCAAAAATCTTTGTTTGAAAGTGTTTGACTTTCATTTAATGCAATTACCTTTGTTTGAATGTGGTTGACTTTCATTTGATACAATTTGCTTTGTTAGAATGTCATTTACTTTCATTTGATTCAAAAAGCTTTGTTTGAATGTGTTTAACTTTCATATGATTCAATTAGCATCGTTGAATGCATTTGCTAATTATTTTAATCAAAAAGATTAGTTTGAAAGTCAAAGTGTTTGACTTTCATATGATTTTATTAGCATCGTTTAATGCATTTGACAATCATTTGATTCAAAAAGGTTTGTTTGCATTTGTTTGACTTTCACATGATTCAATTAGGTTTTTTTAATGCATTTGACTTTCATTTGATTCAAAAAGCTTTGTTTGAATGTGTTTGACTTTCATTTGATTCAATTAGCTTTGTTTGAATGTGTTTGACTTTCATTTGATTCAATTAGCTTTGTAGAATGCATTTGATTTTCATTTGATTAAATTAGCTTTGTTGAATGCATTAGACTTTGATTCAAAAAGCTTTGTTTGAATGTGTTTGACTTTTTTTTTTTGGAAAGTAAAATTTTATTACCAAAAAGACTTCAAAGCATGAGAGTACATCAAAAGCTAATGGCTAACACAACAGCCAAAAAAACCAAACAAACCAAAGAACACAAGCCAAGGAACAAACGTTCTAGCCACCTTCTAGGAAGGGTTCTAGAAATGATGAACCAAACAAGGGTTCTTCTACAATCAATGGAGAGTAACTACCCTCTAGGAGGGCTGAACCAGACCAGAGGAGCAGGACAAAACAAACAAACCACAACACAACTAGCCTTCAAAGCTAAACACTCAGGAAACAAAACCTGACATCAAACAGTAACCTTAAAAAACTCAGAAAATCAATTAATGTCTCTCAGGTTCAGAGCATCTGCAAGAGACTCTATAAACTACATTCCTGAACACATTATCAGCAGGCTCACAGATTCCATTGAACATAGTATTGTTTCTCTGGATCCAAATGTTGTAAACAGCTTCTGCCAGAAACGTCAGATGAAGCTTGCTGTTAGAATTCGACCTTCTATAGTTTTTAATTTCCCAGTCAACTTCATGGTTGAAATCTTGAACAGTTTATTGGCATCTCAGGAGGTGTAACACTTTCTTCCAGATTTTACTAGAATAGCTGCACAGAAAGAAAAGATGCTGCACAGATTCATTATCCTACAAACACAGCAAACAAACAGGGTCACAGACAGGATTCCATTTGAGGATTCTATCCTTTGTAAGTAACATATTCCAATTGGCAAGCCATAAGACAAAAACACTCCTAGGGGTTGCATTATTATTACAGATGATCCTTTTCCAGGAAACTTTAGGACCCTGAGCCCTGATCTTATCATAAATCTTCTTGATTTGAACCCTATTGTTCTTCATCACAGAGCTCTAACCCCCAATGCTATCAATCAAGCTCTTACACTTCATGATTCTCCTGAGAACCCAAGAACTCTTCTTAGGAATAGTAGCATCCCAAAATACAGCAGATTTGAAATAGTATGCATGTATCCATTTGACCCATAGAGAGTCAGATTTGTGAGTGATATCCCAGAGAACTTTACAAATTGCAGCAAGATTCCACTCACAGAGAGATATGATATTCCACCCTCCACAAGACTTAGGCAAGCAAACAGCATTCCAAGCAACCAAGGCCCTCTTTGAAGAACTAGAAACACCAGTCCATAGAAAAGCCTTAAACCTACTCTCAATCTCTTTCATGATCTTCTTTGGCAGAATGAAAATTTGAGCCCAGTATGTTTGAATCCCAAATAGAACACTCTTAATGAGTTGTAACCTGCCAGCATATGAGAGAAATCTGGAAGCCCAGCCATCTATTCTACTGGTTATCTTTTGAACCAAGGGTTTGCATTGTTGAATGGTTAACTTCTTTGAGGAAAGAGTGACCCCAAGGTATTTGAAAGGCAGAGAACCAGCAACCATGCCCAAGCATCCCAAAAAAGATTCTTGACAAGTCAGGTCAATACCTCCAAAGTAAACCTCAATCTTATTAAGATTGGCACTTAAACCAGAAGCTTTAGAAAATTTCTGAAAAGCTCCAAATAGTAGCTTAACAGAACTAACATCAACTCTTGCAAACATCAACAAGTCATCAACAAACATTAAGTGAGTGATAAGGAGCTTCTCACATCTGGGATGAAAGTTGAAATCAGGCACCTTAGCAAGCTCATGAAGACACCTAGACAGATATTCCATTTCTATAGCAAAAAGGAAAGGAAACATGGGATCACCTTGCCTTAGCCCTTTCTTTGCCTTAGAAGGAGTGGTAGTAGAGCCATTGATCAAAATAGAGAAGGACACTGAAGTAATACACTCCATAACCTAATTGACAAAAATATAGGGAAACCCGAGCGCAAACATCACAGCTCTAAGAAAACTCCACTCAATGGAGTCATAAGCTTTCTTCAAGTCAACTTTGATCATACACCTTGGGGTGATGTGTTTATGAGTATAACCTTTTATTAGCTCAGTGGCAAGCAAAATGTTATCCCCAATGTGTTTCCCTGGGATAAATCCAGCCTGAGCTAAGTCAATAATCTCACCAACAACCTGAGACAACCTAGCTGTTAAGATTTTGGAGATGATCTTGTATAAAATAGTACATCAAGCAATTAGTCTAAAGTCCTTCACATAGGAAGGGTTTTGAACCTAGGAACCAAAGTGATAGTTGTACAGTTCCACTGAGCATTCAAAGTACCAGTTTCAAAAAAACCAAGCACATCTTCATAAATTTCCAGACTAATAATATGCCAAGAATGCTTGAAAAATCTTGCATTAAAGCCATCAATTCTTGGGGCTTTATCATCAGAGATTCCTTGCATAACACAGTCAATCTCAGAGGTAGTCACAGGCCTAATCAGCAAGTTCTGAGCTTCCTGAGAGAGATGATTTCCAGATCTCATAGTGGTCAAATCAATAGCATCCAGATCGGGGGAGCTAGATCCCATCAGAGACTGATAGAATAAAATAACCTCCTGCTCAATTTCAACAAGGGTCTTAAGCAAAACACCTTGATCAGTCAGAATTGAGTCAATCCTGTTCCTAGCTTGTCTCTACTTCATCAGAGAAAAGAAATATTTAGCATTCGAATCACCAAGCTTAATCCACTCAGCCCTAGCCTTTTGCTTATAAATACTTTCCTGAACAGATCTCCAATATTTGAGCTTGTGAATAGCTAAATCTTCTTGCACTACGAGATCAGGGTGAGAATCACAAACCATCTGTTCTTGGATATCAAGAACAACTTGCTGGGCAAGATCAATTCTCTGATCTATATTATTGAAAAAGTTCAGATTAAGTTCTTTAAGTCTGCCTTTGAAAATCTTACACTTTTTCCAGACCCTACTCATAGAATTCCCATGAATCCCCTCACTCCAAACCTGTTGCATAGTGTTCAGGAAATCAGAATGAGTGAGTAGGTGGTTTAGAAACCTGAAAGGCTCCCTTTACCAGGAGAGGAAGGAAAGATCTCATACATGAGGGGGGTATGATCAGACAAAGAAGGGGGAAGATAAATAGCTTCAACATTTGGAAATTGCTCCAACTAATCACAATTGACCAACCCTCTATCAATTCTGGTCTGAGTCCTAGGTCCTGAATGTGCTTTATTGGACCAAGAGAAATAGGGGCCTTTACTCTTGATCTCAACAAGGCTCATTTGATCCACAAAATCTCTGAAATCCCTTACTTCATAATCAGAGACCAAGCTTCCATTAATTCTATCATTATAATGCAGGATAGAATTGAAATCACCAATACAAATCCAAGGAGAAGACACAGGACCAATATTCCGGATACCAGTCCAAAGCTCTTTCCTATCATTAATGTTATGCAGCCCATAGAAAAAAGACACAGCAACCTGTCTATTATAATAAATAGTGCAAACAATACAGTGAATAAACTGAACATGGATATGAAGCACCTCAATATGAACTCTGCCACTTTTCCAACCAAGCCAGATTCATCCCTTCCTAGAGACAGAATAATTGCAAATCCAATTAAGGCAATGAGCAATTTTCTTTTGAATTCCAACCATTTTCTTGTGTTTAACTCTAGTTTCAAGCAAGCAAATCACATCAGTTTTAGTCCTATCCAGTAGCTGTTTAACATCAGCTACTTTACAGGGATCGTTAAGACCCCTGATATTCCAAATAGTGAGAATCATTGCTGTGGAGGGGGCCCACCCCCGATAGGTTCAGCAGCCTTTTGAATTTGAACAAAGTCGGTAGTAAGATCATCAGGCAAAGCAGCATACCTGTTAGTAGTTGACACAAGGACAGTAGGTACAACATGCTCTTTCGCCTTCTTCTTCACAGTTTCCCAGGCTCCATTCTCCCTAGATAAACCAGAATCAGGTCTTCTCTTTTGAACCCAAAATTTCTTCTAAGGTTGAGTCTGAGGAACAGGTTGGCTCTGAAGAGGCCTAGTCTCCTCACAATTATGACCAACCTTGTTACATTTCACACAAAATGGGGGGTCCATTCATATATAACAACTAACTCCACTACCTCACCCTTGGGACTCTCAACCCAAACAGACTTAGGTAGAGGTTTTGTAATGTCAATCTCAACCAACAACCTAGCAAAAGAAACTCGAAGTTGTCTTGAGGTGCATTCATCTGCACAAATAGGCACCCCTATAGTGCTACCAATCCTGCTCAAGGTTTCAATACCCCAACAGTTAAGAGGAAGATTAGGTAATTTAATCCATAAAGGCACTGTGCGTAGGATTTCAGCATTGAAATCAAACTTTTCAGACTAGGGCTTGACTATGGCAGGCTTCCCATAAAACATATGAGGACCACTTGCCAAAACTGAGTTCAGATTATCCTGAGAGCACAAATTAATTATAAAATACCCTTCATCATGCCAATAGACCTCAGGATTGTTGTCAAAACCCCAGTCATTTGCAATAAAACGATTAACAGAAGCAGTTGTAGGATAAAACCCGACAACATACAAAACCACTACATTACTCCATTTCCTATTTCCTTCCTCAATTTCACTAATAGGGAGAACAACATTACATTTACCATTTTTGATTTGAGGAGGAACATAGGTTAAAGAAACCCCTTTCGCAGTTAGTTTACCATTGAACATCCTATTTTCATCAAGGCCATCACCCTTGAATCCAGACTCATCAACATGTCCAATAGGGGGGAGATCCCCTTTTGAGACAGACAGAGTAGCAGACGAGTCAATAGCTTGATGGTTAGGCAATGGAATAGTAACCGGGAAAGGTGATGTTCCATTGGATTTGGCCCCAATAGAACTAAAGTTTAGAGCTAACATCTCAGCATCACTTCTTGTGATCATCCCAGCTGAACGATGAACTAATCCTGGAGCAGGGGTATCGAGCTCATCACCTTCATCAAAAACCTCAAGAACAGAAGAAACCCCCACAGAGGAAGGAGCAAACAATGATTCAACTATCTCATTTAATACCTTGGAAGGGGCTGGGGTGGACTGCTTCTTTTTCCGAGCCATTGCAATCGATTTAGTGAAAGAAACCAGCAAAATCAAATCACCATGGACGAAAAACTAAGCTTTCTCTCTCTAGGGTTTTTTTCTCTAGGGTTTAGAATGAATGTAAAATGAATGTGTTTGACTTTCATTTGATTTAATTAGCTTTGTTGAATGCATTTGATTTTCATTTGATTCAAAAATCTTTGTTTGAATGTGTTTGACTTTCATTTGATTCAATTAGCTTTGTAAAATGCATTGGACTTTCATTTGATTCAATTAGCTTTGTTGAATGCATAGGACTTTAATTTGATTCAAAAAGCTTTGTTTGAATGTGTTCGACTTTTATTTAATTCAATTAGCTTTGTTTGAATATGTATGAATTTCATTTGATTCAATTAGCTTTGTTGGATGCATTAGACTTAAATTTGATTCAAAAAGCTTTGTTTGAATGTGTTTGACATTAATTTGATTCAATTAGCTTTGTTTTAATGTGTTTGACTTTCATTTGATTCAATTAAAATTGTTAAATGCATTACATTTTAATTTGATTCAAAAATCTTTGTTTGAATGTATTTGACTTTCATTGGATTCAATTAGCTTTGTTTGAATGTGTTTGACTTTCATTTGATTCAATTAACTTTTTAGAATGCATTTGACTTTCATTTGATTCAAGTAGCTTTGTTGATAGCATTTGATTTTCATTTGTTTAAAAAAGCTTTAATATGTTTGACTTTCATTAGATTCAATTAGCTTTGTATAATACATTTCACTTTCATTCGATTGAATTAGCTTTATTGAATGCATTTGACTTTGATTTGATTCAAAAAGCTTTGTTTGAATGTGTTTGACTTTCATTTGATTCAATTAGCTTTGTTTGAATGTGTTTGACTTTCATTT